CTCATAGAAATTAGATATGCTACAGTCTTTTCTGTTGCTTTCCTGCTTCTTTCTCTTAAAGGCAAGAGACTACAGGCAACACATTATTGTTGTTTGTTAAAGGGGCTGTTTTGCTTCTTTTATTTTCTGTCATCTTCTGGTGCTATCTTTAAAGTGTAACCTAAAGGCTATTAATGGCAGCACTGAGAGAAAATCAACAGTAGAGGATCCCAATCCATTGCTGCGTCTCAATTTGGTAGAGCACTTTCATGCATTATTTTCAGTACAATGTACTTAATTGTGAGGTGCGGTACATTTCAACAGGGTAGTGTTGTCTCAATTGGAACTCTGTTCTTGCGCACTTGTGAAAATACAGATTGCTAAATTTGACTGTTTCTTCTTCTTCTACTTCTGCTTCTTTTTAATTGCACATTTTAAACGGACATAGCATTAAACTGCGAGTGTCGCCTGCTAAAAAGTATCCCTACTGAACAAATGTATTGAAGTAAATGAAAATGTATGGGATTTTAACTTTAGCTGCTTGTGTATCCTCCTGTTTCACGTGAGATGGAAATACACCAGCATAAAACCACCTTTTTGGTGTTCTTTTATATTCTGCTACAAAACCAAGATGGCAACCTTATAGGTTGAGAACTGTCCACCGTTCAACATTAAACTTTTTGAGTTTAGACAGACTTAGCACTGAAAACAGCAAGAGTTTGATAGTCAGAACCCAAATTGAGAAATAGCACGTCATTTTAGTTGTCAACAAAATGGGGAACCACCTGACTGGCCGAGAGAGAGGATTAAATCTATGGCTATATTATGATTTAACAACCACTTTCCCTTTGAATATCTATTTTATTTTCAGAGATGTTTTACTTCCTTACAGGTCTCCTGGATAAGAAGCCATACAATGTTACAGTTACTCCCCTCTTTGTTGATAAGACCGGTCGTGGCACACAAGCCCTTCAAATCTGCTCCAGAGTGGGGGGTATGTCATTCTGATTAATTTTTTTCTGATTCTGAATATATAAGTATTTGTTTCCATGTTTTACCAGACTGTTTTTGAAAATGTGTTCCCGACAGGTCCAGGAAATGTCACTATCCACATTAATAAGACTAATGCCAAAAATGCTCTGGTGAGCTGGGATGTGAAGTCCCAGGAGGAATGCAGTGGTGACGTTGTCAAATACATCGTCTTCTACCGTAAACTGGACCGTCTGGGGCTTTGGCTCAGTGAGTCCAACTCAGGCTCATTTAAAGTTTGCAAATCTGTTGAAATTATATTTTTCCACTTATCTTTCTAGCATTTTTGTCATGGTCTTCTTCCAGATGTGACTGTAATTGGCACAGAGCATGCCATCTCTTTGGAAAATCTGCTTCCAGACACCCAGTACGAATTCTATGTCAAGGCCACGGCTGCTACTGGAACAACCAAAAGCACTGAAATGTTCTTTAAAACTAAAAAATTTGGTGAGTACTCTGTAAGAGCTCAGACACACATGTAAATACATTTGACCCTATGAGCACAATAGCAGAAAACCAAGAGAAAGGTATAGGCATGAATATAAATAATCTATTCTGAATGTTTTCAGCCCATTGATTGGTCCTCATCAGTTACTATCACTGCCACTCAAATGGTTCAGACAGGGCAACATAATCAACTGCACCTACTTGCACTTTGCAAATGTAAGATTCACATTGTAAACGATAACAAAATAACTTGTTTTAGGGTAGGTGACATACAGTAACTACTTGGTTAGGTTAACGAAAAGATAATTTGGGTCAAAATATATCCTTTAAGAAAAGTATAGAAAAGGAAAGTAGCAGCGCTTAGTGCTCTCAATCTTGAAAAGTGTATCGAGTGCACGGTAATGGCAAGGTCCTCTTACATTTTGTGGGAATAAACAAGCATGTTTCAGATAGAAGCTAGCATAATCAACAAACAACAAACTCCTAAAAGAAATGTATTCCTTTGTTCTGTAGGTCGGTGGTTCATCACAACACTCGTTGTCTGTGGAGGCGTCGTTATAATTCTTGTGTTATCTCTTGGATTAGGCTGTGCTATTTCGTAAGTTTCAATCTTTTATGGTCACTTTTGTTGTGAATCGGATTGATTTTTAGTTTAGAGACTGAAGCAAGCAAATTTCCTTATCATCAGTAATAAAATGTAGTACATTTTGCTGCCATACAAGGAATAATCTTCACATTTCTGACCACAAAATATTGAAAAATGGTGTTCTGATGATTCTAACAATCTGATTTTTAGGTGGAAGAAATTCAGGGAGAAGCCGATACCGAACCCTGGCTGCAGTTCTTTGGCGTTGTGGCCACCACGTGAAGAGGTGAAATACAACATTATTAGAGTATCTGTGGTAGGGAGAACATTCAATATTAGTTTATTTGCAGTCTGGGAAGAACACATGAAAAGCTGTTGCTTTCAGAGGGTAGTCATGAAAATGATTTAATAAACTGGGGTGTTTTTTTAGCTATGACCACTGAGCTATAGCCCCTTTAGATACTATTAAATACGTACTAAAAAGATAGAGAATGCTGATGATTTCACTATTTATTTTTCCAATTAAACAAAAGAGAAATATATATTTATGTCTGGTGAGCTGCAGCCCTGTTTTAAATGGTATTTCCCAGCATGAATATCAAATATATTTATACTGTATGTATTTAAAGTTATAGGTACACATTGTTTTGTTTCCGTTCTGTTTGTATGTTGTCTTTTGTTAATAATGAAAAAGAGAATTACAGAAAGAAAACATTGATGAGAATTTCACATTTCTCAGAAGGTTTTAGATGGACAGATCCATGTCATAATCATTGAACCACAAATGTTTTACCCGCTGGACAATCATCTTTCTGTGTGTGCCATATACATAGGGAACGGGATCCATTTTGCAATTCAACAATCCATCTGAGAGCGTCTGTGACAGGGTTTACACGGAGGAAAGTCAGAAAACGTCGACATCTCCACTAGGTTCAGATTTAAATCCAAACCCAGCCTTTTACCAGACAGACGAATACATTGACCCAGACATGGCATCAGCACCAGAAACAGACACTGAAGAGCGGCTCAAACCTGCAAAGACACAGCACCGCTCCTCTCCTAATGACTCAATGGAACCGCTTCTTCCTGAGAACAGCCCCTGCAGCCCGTATCGGTGTCAGACTTCTGGGGAAAATACGGGCAAGAGGCCTAATAAACAAAATAAACATTCTCCAGTGAAACAGCCAGATAGAAAAACACCTGTGATGGTCTATGTGACTTTGGACATGTTTGAACAAAACCAGTGCAGGTGAGGGAAATGGAAACTATAATAACATTCCAAGAGTCAAGAATCATTTCCAGAAAAAGTAGATTCTTGCGAAATACTAGAGTGTTTGTTGCATTACCGATACAAACATGTGATATATAAAGCTAAAACATTTGTGTAGAAGATGCTTTATTGAGTACGTGTATTACAATAACGGTATATTTATCTGGCAACAGTTTCTGGTCTGATTTGATGCAAAGTCAATGAAAGGAATGCATTTTTTTAATTTAGTATTTACAATCAGTACTAAATATTAAGAACACTTTTTTTTTATTTCTATATTGCAATACAATTGGGGCCATCTTATGAAGCTGAAATTACATACAAATATCTGTTTGTGCAATGATAGCATGCTGAGAATATATATAAATGGTGAAAACTATATGTTGGTGTAAAAGTCATAATATTAGCTATGTATTATAATAATATTGTCTTATGTTTCCTGTTTTTTATCAATGATATCTGCATTAATTATAAAAAAGTAAACAACTTACTTTACCCTGGAAAGCTATTAGTCACTCCTTGTTTTACTCTACCATTTAAAATGTAAACGTAACTGTAAGGGAAACTTCTGTAGCAATGGAGAGTCAGGACTCAGAGAGACACGAGGAGAGTTGGAGCTTTGATGTCAAACACTTATGGTTTATTACAAGTATCACATTCACATCACAACTCACACAGACAGAGGTTCTGACTGCACGGGCGAGTTGCCACGTCAATTCTCCAGAGTCTCTCTCTCGATAGCCCTTTTAACTAGTTCAGAGAGAGAGTAAACAACATATTTAGGGAGATAGACTAAACAGCTGGGCCCACTGAATCACTTGCGTTTGACCCTTAATGGCCTCGAAGCCAGCGTTCTCACAACCATAAACCATTTGTGACCGAGAGTTGACCGGTCATGAACTGGGAATATCAACATATGACTGCAGCAGCACATTCCTTAAGAGATAACAGAGTCAGGGTTGGTCATAAACGTCAAAGGACAAAAAGGTTATATATCTTAGGAGTAAATGAGAATTATTCTCTAACAGTAACAATGACATGTACTATTCATAAGCTATTTAATATTAAAGAAATTACATACGTCTATACATGCTGTCTTGATATTTGTGTAAAACAATTTGTATTGTTCTGCTGGTAAATGCTGTACTTAACTAGACCTTTGAGGTACTTTGGTTATTTTTTCCTTAAACTTCACTACAATTCACAGTAAAATGTTCTACTTTCTTCCTTCTCTACAAGTTTTTAAGCACTTTTGTTTTGTTATCACTGTTTTATTTGATGGTTATTTTCCTACAATTTATCTTCTTTGACCGTGTTTATGTATGCACCAAATTCACAAATTCCTAGTGTGTATGTTTTTGAGAACAGAGTGAGAAAATGTCAGTGATAGGGTCAGAGAGCAGGACGGTAGTGAAGGGGATACTGGGAACAGAATGAAAGGGGGTAAAAGCTACCATAAATGCACTTTTAGATTTTTTTGGGTGAAAAAAGGCTGATTATAATTTAAAATAGTTTAAACATGGTTGTATACTTCCACGAGTGGTGATTTGGTCACATGATGATGCACATTCTTGCATCCTCATGTCTACTCTACAGTGGGTGGCGGTATGGACCTTTACATTGTTTGCGAGCCGCCAATATTTCGAGAGAAGAAGAAGAAGACGTAGAATGCTAGCTAGTTTAGCTCAAGCTAGCTAGCTCGTTGGATGCACTGAAGTGATGTTATGCTAGCTATTTGCTAACTATCTGGATTTCAGGGAAACAGAAAAAAAACATAACATCGTTTTTGGAATGCTTAACCAGCCTTGAGTCGATACACCCTATGTTTGGTGTAATTACCCTCCGGTCCGTCATGAAGTTGACCGGGCACACAGTTGTCGGATGATTCTCCTGAATTAGTAGCTAAAGGGCCTTGAGTCCGCGGTGCTCGGGTGAAGGACAGCCGGGGATCAGCGCCTACTGAGAGCGGGAGCTTTGAGCAACAAGCCAACTAGTAATACGAGGTTTTACTTATTATAACTGTACCACAACCTCTCCTCATCATGTCACACACCGGACCCCCTCCTCGATGGCGGAATTGTCCCAGAAGAGGACAACCTGTGGCAGGTGAGTGAAAAATAACATGACATTAAATTAATCTGCTTAATGTACGGAGTGCTATTGCTACGAGCTACGCAATATGCTGGTTTATCATGTGTTTCTGATGCATTATGATGTGCTTTTTAATTTCCCAAACGTCCTTTTATATCAACCAGTACTTGGCTGTTGATGTTCAGTTTCAGTCATACATACATTGAATGGCTAGCATCACAACATTGTGACGATGGCCGCCAGTGCAGCCCAACTTCATGCTATTATATTTAAATGTAGCCATGGCCGTTATGAAATTGGATGCCGAACTGACTAAATAACCTTAATAAACGAATAGAGCTCAGGCTTTCTTTAATTGAAGATATATGTCTCATTTGTGGTGAGAACACCTTAAATAGCCACATTTGTAAATGTAGTTTTGTACGACACTGTATTCAGGCGCGCAATGTTTGGCTAATTTGGCAGCTGTGGCTAACTTTCTGGCTACTCCTTGCAGAAATTAGTGCTTTTAAGTTAAAAAACCCTTATTGAATTAGCAACATAAAGCTGTTGTTGGGATGTGTTTGGATCATTTATTCCCCACTGTCAGAAAAGTGCTACTGTGTTGGCTAGCTTCCTTGTCACGTGTCAAAACAAACCGTGGCTATAGCATGGCTGCACATGAAGCTTTGTTGTGGTCCTTATCTATAAAAGCCATGTTTAACAACATGTCTACTTGAATAGCACATTGCCAGGCTAATCTGTGCTCCAAGTTTGCTTTGTATCAAAGCAGTAGCCTAGAGAGATGTGACATTATAAATCACAGCTACTGTTAGTGACAATTTCAGCTATATCTGCTATTTAATACAGGGATGGGTCCAATATTTTTATTTGATATGAACCACCCTTAGCTTTGCAAGCAAGTACGATTTCATCCTTAATTCAACACGATAACAGAACTTAATTCAACCTTGGTTTGACACTTCACCTGCTGTTTATATCAGATGTTATTTAGTATGATGAAGTGTGGTTTCCATGGTAACTTTTGACAAGTGTTTACAGTTTTTCAGACTGTGTTTGCGTAATTCACTACTTTATATTAAGGATAAAACCTGCCTGTAAAGAAACATTACGTTTTAGCTGAGCCAACTCATCAGGTTTCCTATTCAGAGTACAGATAGTTTTAGTGAGAAATTGTACAGAGTTTTATTGAGAAACACTGGTTAATTCCTTGTGCAACTCCTGTTTGCTATATCAATATATTCTTGTAAATTCGTTTTGAAGACTTATCTTTCAGTGTTTCTCACAGAATTTGATTCCATTTGTGGGGGCACCCCCCCCTAATCCCCCCCGGCAAGAAAAGCCAAAGGCCCCTTAAAGAGCAACTTGCAGGTTAAAGACACCAGTGAATAAATGTGTAGGAAAATGATGAATACACTAGATTTTCCAAAAAATATAGAGAAATATACACTACAGTGACATCTGGCGTCGTTTTAGTAAGACATTTTCACTTCCGCATAAAAAAGCCTCCGCACGTGACCTCCCGCGTGTGACGTAACATGGGGGAGAGCGGCCGGTGTAACGTATGAATAAACATGGATCACAATGCTAGTTTTGACACAGAAGACACAGAAGAAGTTGAAC